AAATATGTTGGACACAAACTTCTCAATCGTAGACTATTTAGTGTTTGTGTCGCTATTGATCGCCTCATCACTAATCGGAGTATACTTTTGGTACAAATCGCGAAAAACAGCCACAAATGCCGAGTACCTGACCGGCAACAGGCAACTCAGTCTCATCCCGGTTATAATGTCTATGGTGGCCAGTTTGATGTCCACTAATACACTGCTGGGAATGCCGGCTGAGGTATACCAAGTGGGCACTCAAGTGTGGTTAACAGCAGTTTCATGTATTATAGCCATTGTATTAACGGCTGAGGTTTTTATGCCTATCTATTATACAATGGATTTCATAAGTGTTAATGAGGTTTGAGATATAAATTGATTAAAATATTGAACAAGCATAATTATTGCCAAACTAGTATTTAGGGAAAAGATTTGACGCCGACTATATGCGCTTAGCCGGCACAATGGGATTAACTTTTAAATATGTAAATAATTCATGTTTATGATCATAATCAATTGATAAATCCAGTAATCATTTAAGTTTTTATGTATGTTTAGATAGTTTATTTGGCGACTGTATTGTATGGGCCGGCAGTGGCACTCAGTGCAGGTGTGAAATAATTTTAAATAATAAATGAATTACATTTTATTCAAAATAAAACTTTATGTTAATCAGTGACACCGTTATCAATACCTACGTCTATCATTTTGGTGGGATTTATATGCACTTTCTACACATCCATTGTTAGTTAACATTATTTAAGAAATAAACAATTTATGGGAAAATAATTGATAATTTTCTATTGAAAAGGGAGGCATAAAAGCGGTCATTTGGACGGACGTATTGCAGGGCTCACTCATGTTTCTGGGAGTGCTTGTGGTTATCTTAACAGTAATTAAAAACTGCTAAAATATCAATTATTTGAGCAAGTTAATCTTGAAAAGTTGTCCATTATAACAGGGTGTGATAGAAACTGGTGGAGTAAAAGAGCTGTGGGACATCAATGAGCGAGGTGGTCGAAACAAATTTTTTAAGTAAACATTTTTGATTATTGTATTCAAATAAATGTATATCAATCTTATGCATTACTGTATATTTTATAGTTAATTATAATTATCTTCAGCATGAAGGTAGATGTCTATAATCACGACAACTTCTGGAATGCATTGATTGGTAATACCGTGAGCTGGTCGGGCGGCTACTGTATATCACAGCAACAGATACAACGTTATTGTAATGTGGGTTCACAACAAAAGGGTCGGCGGTATGTATAGTATGAATATTCTTTAAATAACGGCAACAAACTTGAGTTTATTGTATATAATAGGGCGTTATATTGGAATGTCCTGGGTGTCGTACTGTTTATATTGATGTCCATAACGTGTGGCATGGTCATATACGCCAAATACCACGCGTGTGACCCTGTTACTTTGGGCCTGATTACAAGGCACGACCAACTTATGCCGTATTATGTAATGGACACTCTATCTCAATACCCGGGACTACCTGGCCTTTTTGTGGCATGTGTGTTCAGTGGGTCACTCAGGTATGCTAAGTCTTTAAAAATTTTAAAAATAATTTAAAATTTAATTAATTATACTGTAATTGAAAGCACCCTATCGTCGGGTTATAACTCATTGGCGGCCATTACTTTCGAGGACCTCATTAAGGATCGCGTGAAACTCAAAAATGATAGCCAGGCACTGATTATCACTAAATTAATTTGTGAGTGTATATTAATTAGTAAATATTGATAATTATGGTTATACTGTATATTATGTGGACAGCCATGTCGTACGGACTCATAATCATTGGGTTTGCTTTTCTCGTGGGAAACGCGGGGACTGTATTTCAGGCGTCTTTGGCTATGAGCGGCGCAATGGGAGGCCCTATATTAGCCTTATATCTTGTCGGCATATTTTATCCGTACGCCACCGCACCGGTAGTAAAAACATATACAGTACTGTTTTATAAGAGGGTATTTATTTTATGACTATATCTGTAATAAAGGGCGCATTAATAGGATTTCTAAGTGGATATGGCATTAACACAGTCTTAGCTATCGGTTCGTTGGTTATGCCGCGACCGAAGGTGTCGTTACCGACTACTCTAGACAACTGTCCGGTGGATGTCATCCAAATTGTGTTCACCCGATTTGAAACACTACCCAACTCTACGTACATCTCGTCCTATGATAACGTGGAGTATGTCTCACGAAAATACAATACTTCACGAAATTATAAGCAAAATAAAATGAATTGTTTTTCAGAGGTTTGGGTCAATTCTTTCACATCTCATACCTATTGCTGTCAACCATTGGATTCACGATATGTATTGTCGTATCAGTGTTGGCCNAAATAAAATGAATTGTTTTTCAGAGGTTTGGGTCAATTCTTTCACATCTCATACCTATTGCTGTCAACCATTGGATTCACGATATGTATTGTCGTATCAGTGTTGGCCAGTCTATGCATAGGTTTGTCAGTAATATATGATATGTGAAGCTTTAAATCAAATTATATATTTTAGCTTTTCATTACAATTACTTTTCAATGCATTTCTAACTAAATAGTAATAATGAATGCAAAAGCGAAAGTAATAATTGGATATAATTCTTGACATAAATAATATTTGAATTAAATTGACTAGTTGTTTTGAAAATGCATCAGGTAAACCAATCAAAACACTCGATACAAAGCTGATGTCACCGATCGTTAAATATATATTTCCCGGTATTAGCGCCCAAACTATGGTATTGTAATTTGTACAGTAATTTATATTTTTAATATTCATATGAATTTATATTATCAGCAAAAATCCAATGAAATCGAGACAATAGATGCCACGAATATTTCGGATCCGAATGACACACCAAATATTACACATAAAGTGACCAGGGTTTAGGCATTTATTAATAATATAAATTATTTTGTAAATAATACAAAGTCAAATGAAAAGCTAATTAAAAATATTATTTCAAACATTCATTTTCTTGAGTTATATTTACATAGACAAGCAAATTGCAAATACTGTAGTTTCATGAGTTTTAAAACAAATAAGTTTCATTTAAATAACTTATATGACCATGGTTTATGAATATTGTTATATTGTACTAACATGAAACAAGTAGTTATATTTTTATAAGTAAATTATGATATTTGGTATTTAGTTGAAATAAATGAATGAAATACTTTTTTGATTGAAAATAATTTTATACATTTTAGAAAAATATTTGACAAAAATAAGGATCAATAAAAAAGTATAAAACGATTTTTATTAAACAAAATGAACACAACATAAATAATATTTAGATTGGCCAGGAAAAATATAAATTGTATTTATTGATTAACCTTGATTGATAATAATGTTTATTAAAGAAGCAAATAGATTACGATTAAATAAATAATATATTTTTTTAAACATTTACAAAACCTAAAACACATTTTTTGATCAAACAATTTGTTTAATGATTGGATTTTTAAAAATTAAATGTATATATATAATTTTCTGTGACTTAACAAAAAACAAATAGTGTGTAAATATGTTGGACACAAACTTCTCAATCGTAGACTATTTAGTGTTTGTGTCGCTATTGATCGCCTCATCACTAATCGGAGTATACTTTTGGTACAAATCGCGAAAAACAGCCACAAATGCCGAGTACTTGATCGGTAACCGGCAACTAAGTCTCGTCCCGGTCATAATGTCTATGGCGGCCACCTTTATGTCCACTAATACACTGCTGGGAATGCCGGCTGAGGTATACCAAGTGGGCACTCAAGTGTGGTTGACAGCAGTTTCATGTATTATAGCCGTTGTATTGACGGCTGAAGTTTTTGTTCCTATTTATTATTCAATGGGATTCATAAGTGTTAATGAGGTTTGAGAAACAAAATTAAAATATTGAACAAGCATAATTATTGCGAGTCTAGTATTTAGGAAAACGATTTGACGCCGACTATATGCGCTTAGCCGGTACAATGGGGTTAACGTTTAAATATGTAACTAATTCATTTGTATAATCATGTTTATCTAGTAATCACATAAGTTTTTATATGTACTGTATTTAGATCCCTTATTTGGCGACTGTATTGTATGGGCCGGCAGTGGCACTCAGTGCAGGTTTTCAATAATTTTAATGATTAACAAAATGTTTTTAAAAATAAAACTTTATGTTAATCAGTGACACCGCTATCAATACCTATGTCTATACTTTTGGTGGGAATTATATGCACTTTCTATACAACTATTGTGAGTTATTTTATAAATAAACAATTTAACTGAATATAATTAATACATAATTTTCTATTGGAAAGGGAGGCATAAAAGCGGTCATTTGGACGGATGTATTGCAGGGCTCACTCATGATTTTGGGAGTGCTTGTGGTTATCGTAACAGTAATTTTAAAAATCAAAATATTAATTAGTTGACAAATTACTCTTAAGCACTTCAAATACAGGGTATCATAGAAATGGGTGGTCTGAAGGAGTTGTGGGACATAAACGAGCGAGGTGGTCGACTCAAGTTTTTTAAGTATCTAATTTTTAAGTGAATTAAATAAAATATCAACCTCTAACTTTATAGGGTATATTTCATATTTACTTATAATTATTATATTTCTAGTATGAAAGTAGATATCTATAATCACGACAACTTCTGGAATGTATTGATTGGGACGACCGTTAACTGGTCGGGAGCTTACTGTATATCACAACAACAGATACAACGCTATTGTAATGTGGGTTCACCACAAAAGGGACGCCGGTATGTATAGTAAGGTATTTGTTAAATCAACCAAACTCTTGTATTAATTGTATAAAATACAACAAATAGGGCGTTGTATTGGAACCTCCCGGGGCTCATAGTATTCATAGTGATGTCCATAACGTGTGGCATGGTCATATACGCCAAATACCACGCGTGTGACCCTGTTACTTTGGGTCTGATTAAAAGGCACGACCAACTCATGCCGTATTATGTTATGGACACTCTATCTCAATACCCAGGACTACCGGGCCTTTTTGTTGCATGTGCGTTTAGTGGAGCGCTCAGGTATGTTGTGTTAATAAAAATCTAAAGATAATTAATTATACTGTAATTGAAAGCACCCTATCGTCGGGATATAACTCATTGGCGGCCATCACTTGGGAGGACCTCATTAAGGATCGCGTGAAACTCAAAAATGAAAGCCAGGCACTCCTTGTCTCTAAATTAATTGGTATAATACGTGATGTTTTAATAAATACCAGTATTTATGGTTATATTGTATATCATGTGGACAGCCATGTCGTACGGACTTATAATAATTGGATTTGCGTTTCTCGTGGGAAAAGCCGGGACAGTAATGCAGGCGGCTATGGCTATAAGCGGCGCAATGGGTGGTCCTATATTTGCCTTATATCTTGTCGGCATATTCTATCCGTACGCCACCGCACCGGTAATTAAACTAAGTAATTATGTTATTAAAAGTGTGTTTATTTATGATTTTATGCGTAATAAAGGGCGCATTAATAGGATTTCTGAGTGGATATGGCGTTAACTCAGTCCTAGCCATCGGTTCGTTGGTTATGCCGCGACCGAAAGTGTCGTTACCGACTACTCTAGACCACTGTCCGGTGGAAGTCATCCAAAGTGTGTTCACCCGATTTGAAACACTACCCAACTCTACGTATATCCCGTCCTATGATAACGTGGAGTATGTCTCACGAAAATACAATACTTCACGAAATTATAAGCAAAATAAAATGAATTGTTTTTCAGAGGTTTGGGTCAATTCTTTCACATCTCATACCTATTGCTGTCAACCATTGGATTCACGATATGTATTGTCGTATCAGTGTTGGCCAGTCTATGCATAGGTTTGTATATATTATATAATATGAAATACATTTTAATACTTTTATACATTAAAACGAAATATAAAATTATACTAAATATTTGTATTTAAAAATGTATCAGGTAAACAAATCAAAACACTCGATACAAAGCTGATGTCACCGATCGTTAAATATGTATTTCCCGGTATTAGCTCCCAAACTATGGTAATGTAATTTATACAGTAATTTAAATTTTTAATATTCATATGATTTGATATTATCAGCAAAAATCCAATGAAATCGAGACAATAGATGCCACGAATATCTCGGTGCCCAACGACACACCAAATATATATCAACCAAATATTACACATAAAGTGACCAGTGTATAGGCATTAGTTAATAATATAAATTCATTTGTAAATAATATACAAGTCAAATGAAAAGCTAATTATTAATAATAATACTATCATTAATATAATTTCTAAAATTTATTTTCTTGAGTTACATTTTTATGTGTTTTCAAACAAACTATTGTAGTTTCATTTTAGCTTAAATTTATGATCATGAAAATTGTTGCTGTATACAGTACTAAATTGAAATAAATATAGATAATATGTACATTTTCACTGCCCTATCAGAGTTTATAACAAAGTAATTATGTTATCAAAAGTGTATTTATTTATGACTATATCTGTAATAAAGGGCGCATTAATAGGATTTCTGTGTGGATATGGCGTTAGCACAGTCCTAGCCATCGGTTCATTGGTTATGCCGCGACCGAAGGTGTCGTTACCGACTACTCTAGACAACTGTCCCGTGGATGTCATCCAAAGTGTGTTCACCCGATTTGAAACACTACCCAACTCTACGTACATCCCGTCCTATGATAACGTGGAGTATGTCTCACGAAAATACAATACTTCACGAAATTGTATACAAAATAAAATGAATTGTTTTTCAGAGGTTTGGGTCAATTCTTTCACATCTCATACCTATTGCTGTCAACCATTGGATTCACGATATGTATTGTCGTATCAGTGTTGACCAGTCTATGCATAGGTTTGTCAGTAATACATGATATCTGTGTTTTTAAAATAAACTCAGGATTATGTATGAATTGTGAGTCGAAAGTTTTTTATTTTGTTACGCGTAAAGTATAGAAGCTTATTTTAAAAAAGCTTTCGACTTACAACTCATACATAATCCTGAGTTTATTTAAAAAACACATATATTTTGATTAAAAATGGGAGATGTCCAATTATACATAGAAATTAAATTTTCAAAATGTATCAGGTAAACAAATCAAAACACTCGATACAAAGATGATGTCACCGATTATCAAATATATATTTCCCGGTAGTTGCGCCCAACATAAGGTATTGTAATTTGTACAGTAATTTATATTTTTAAAATTCATATGAATTTATATTATCAGCAAAAATCCAATGAAATCGAGACAATTGATGCCACGTATGTCTCGGAGCCCAATGACACACCAAATATAAGTCAACCACATATTACACATGAAGTGACCAGTGTTATATAATACTAATATACTGAGTAAATAATATATTATATCTCACTATTTTATACAGTTTGCATCAACACAATCTGACAAAAATCATAGTTAAATACGAATAATTTAAAAATTAATAATATTTTATGACACTCATTGATTTAACTTGAAATATATTTAGTAATTTCATAATTATAATCATAATTTATTACATAGACAATGTTGACAATAAATTACACTGATACATAGTAATAAGCTAACATTCTTAAAGCTTTGAAAAATATAATTTAATTTTAAAATTTAATAATTTTGTATTATGTAATATATCGCATTTATGGTACATTACACACTTTTCGCAATTAAATATAATAAAATCAAAAATACTTCCGATTCAATAATCCCATTAATATATTCTAGCTCATAATGTACTAATAATTTTGTATTATGTAATATATCGCATTTATGGTACATTACACACTTTTCGCAATTAAATATAATAAAATCAAAAATACTTCCGATTCAATAATCCCATTAATATATTCTAGCTCATAATGTACTCTATACCAAAAATAGGGCACAGAATTAATGACATGTAAAATATGTTTTCATCAGAATTGCATTGCTTTCTACATTTATTCTGGTATTCAATTGATCGACGAATATATGATAAAAAGTTATGAATTTTATGAACAATAATGTCATTTAAATTAGTCGTATGTGCTTTATTTGTGTTCATTGTCCAGTTTAGTGTCCAGGATAATAATGACAATTCAAAATTAAAGGATAAACAGGGCGTAGAATCACTTTGGATACATAACCATCATAACCACCATAAACCCCAACACATACCTAAACCTGAAGTAGAGCACAAACCCCACCCCGAGTGGGAACCTGAGGTCGAGCCAGAGGTTGAACCAGAGGTCGAGCCAGAGGTTGAGCCTGAGATAGAGCCCGAACCGGAGTCAGAACCCGAGACAGAGCCTGAAGTTGAACCGGAGGTAGAGCCTGAAGACGAACCCGAACCAGAGGTGGAGCCCGAGTATGAACCCGAACCAGAGTACGAACCGGAGCCTGAAATAGAGCCCGAGGATGAGCCGGAACCTGAAGTAGAACCGGAGGTGGAGCCGGAGGATGAGCCCGAACCAGAGGCAGAACCCGAAGACGAACCCGAGCCCGAGTATGAGCCCGAGCCAGAGGTAGAGCCTGAGCCTGAAGATGAACCCGAGCCCGAGTATGAGCCCGAACCAGAGGTGGAGCCCGAGGATGAGCCAGAAGACGAACCCGAACCGGAGGTGGAGCCGGAGGATGAGCCCGAACCAGAGGCAGAACCCGAAGACGAACCCTCGCCCGAGTATGAGCCCGAACCAGAGGTGGAGCCCGAGGATGAGCCAGAAGACGAACCCGAACCGGAAGTAGAACCCGAGGACGAGCCCGAGCCTGAGTACGAGCCAGAAGTTGAACCCGAGGTGGAGCCAGAGGATGAGCCTGAGCCTGAAGATGAACCCGAGCCCGAGTATGAGCCCGAACCAGAGGTGGAGCCCGAGTCTGAATACTCGCCAATTTATAAACCAGAGCCCGAAAAGCCTGTAAAACCCGAACAAAATTGGGAGGAAATACATATCATTTTACCAGAACTACCAGCGGATGAACCGGAAACCCCTCACCACAAACCGCCCCAGCAATGGAAACCCCCACATCGGCCATACCCACACCGACCACCTGTTTACAAACCACACCCAAAGCCACTACCTGTCCACAAACCTCATCCACCACCTCAATGGGAGCAACCGCCACCACCTGTCCATAAACCACACCAACCCCATCAATGGGAACAACCACAACTACCACCACTACCACTTCCAGACCATAAACCACCTCCAAGTACCTCTGATTGGGAAGGACCGCCCCATGACTTTAAGCCTACAGAACACCACTGGAAACCTCCACCAAAACCAGAAAATCAGGAGATAAACGACTGGGAGATACCGTCCCCTCATTGGGAAAATAAGCCAAAACCAGAATTAAAATGCACAGGTACTTTAGTTTTTTTTATAAGTTAGCTTTCACGTATATTTAAAAATGTTTTAATTTTTCCAGTCATTCCTAAACACGTGCAAAATATCGGTAAGAAATTGATAATAAAACTCTAGAATATTCTGTAGAAATGTAAAATAATTGCATATATTTGTGTACAGCATTTACCCCCATTGCTGAACCGGAAGTGTACACCCGATCCGTATATCAATGCAATGATGAGTCTGTATTCAAACAGTTAACATACGAATACCAGGCCGAAGGTCGGGTTACCTGTAATGGGGTAGTCGTGCAGACAGAGGACGGGTATTACAATGCTGTCGCTGAGCCCAACAACAAACAAACATTGTATTTAACAAACTATACTCAAATCCATGCATATAATAAGGGTATAGATTATTCTGTAAAAATTTCATATATGTTTTATGATATACTTTTCCAACCAGGCCATGAGGACTTCCTGGAGTGCGGTATCATATCGCATGGCAAATGTGCGGGTGATTTGTTATGGGGAACGGGAGTTTATAAGCCGTACGAAGCGGATGGTTGCGAAAGGGATGGTATCTCTAAATTAAATGCAGTGCACAGAAAGTTAGAGATTGTGGGTAAATGTGCATCCAGGTGCCATTTGGGTACATCTATTAGGCTGCTGTATCCCTGGGTTGACAACTATGGACTGGTAGACCGTAACCATAATCAGAGACAAGCCAATGAAACTGGTGTTGGAAGTAGTGGTGAAACTGATGTCAATAATAATACGGAAACTACTGTTCAAAATAGCACTGATTCTGGTGCTCAACAGTCATGAGTTATTTATTACTAATTTATTTATTTATTTATTTTATTTATATTAGTTTATGTAAAATTAATTTATGTTGAATAAAAATTTAATTAATTTTACTGGTTAACATTATCACTACAGTAAATAGATATTTATCTAGTGGTAGCTTATCAAGGGAAGTTTAGATTGAATTAAAATATTTGAAATTTACAGTAAGTGACTAAATGATAAACAGTGTGAAATAAGTAAATATGTTTCTGGAATAATATATTTTTAATAATTAGATGCTAATTCACATCATCAAGTGCATTTTATATTTTTAAAAGTGTTATCGAACTCTGTTTTTGTGGAAATATACCACAATATTAGTCAACATTTTGTGCACAAATTATGAAATGAATTCCTAAAATGTGTTTGTTGAATTTTGGCAGATTTTATTTGTTTACAATAAATCACACCCTCAAGTGTTTACCTAAAACTTTTGCACTCAATATACAAAATATAACTATAAAATGATTGCCTTTTAATTTGGTTTTAGTCTCAAAATTGACACAAAAACAAACATGAATTATATTATCGTATTTTGTGCTATAATTGGTTTGAGTACACAATACGGTCACAAACCTGAGCCCCAACACCAACCGGAGCCCGAATGGGACAACCATTGGGAACATAAGCCCAAACCCGAGTGGAGTCCACCTGAGCCTGAGTGGTCGACTCCCGAATGGAAACCCATTCCCAAACCTGAGCATAGGTGCAAAGGTAGTATAAAATAGTTAGTTAATTATAAAATTATTTAAAACCTTTTGCTTTTAATAGTTATCCCAAAACACGCAAAAACAATTGGTAAGCAAATTGTTGTAAACTATAGGAATATTCTGTATATTCTGTAAAATTCTGTAAAATTCTGTAAAATTCTGTAAAATTCTGTAAAATTCTGTAAAATCTTTGCCTATAAACAGAGTACACGCCAATAGCCGAACCTGAAATATCGACGGCATCCCTGCTTTTCTGTGACCCGGGTTCAGTCATCCAGCAGCTCGCATATGAAAGCAAAGGCCAGTCAGCCATCACCTGCAACGGTGTCATTGTCGTCAAAACTGATGACAAATACAGTGCTCTCTTTAATTCACATGGAAATCATGGCAAACATTGGGACGTTTTGAATCTTTGTAATTACACGCAAATTGAGCAGTATCTTAATGGTACGTATACCCGACCACAATATCATAGGACGGGATGTACGTAGAGTTGGGTAGTGTTTCAAATCGGGTGAACACACTTTGGATGACATCCACGGGACAGTTGTCTAGAGTAGTCGGTAACGACACCTTCGGTCGCGGCATAACCAACGAACCGATAGCTAGGACTGAATTAACGCCATATCCACTCAGAAATCCTATTAATGCGCCCTTTATTACACATATAATCATAAAATTAATACCCTTTTATGACAGAGTACTGTATATGTTTTGCCTACCGGTGCGGTGGCGTACGGATAAAATATGCCGACAAGAAATAAGGCAAATATAGGGCCACTCATAGCTCCGCTTATAGCCATCGACGCCTGCATTACAGTCCCTGCGTTTCCCACGAGAAACGCGAACCCAATGATTATGAGTCCGTACGACATGGCTGTCCACATGATATACAGTATAACCATAAATACCAATATTTACTAATTAATTACAATTATTATACCAATTAATTTAGAGACAAGGAGTGCCTGGCTTTCATTTTTGAGTTTCACGCGATCCTTAATGAGGTCCTCCCAAGTGATGGCCGCCAATGAGTTATAACCCGACGATAGGGTGCTTTCAATTACAGTATAATTAATTATTTTTAGGTTTTTATAAACACAACATACCTGAGCGACCCACTGAACACACATGCCACAAAAAGACCAGGTAGTCCCGGGTATTGAGATAGAGTGTCCATTACATAATACGGCATGAGTTGGTCGTGCCTTTTAATCAGACCCAAAGTAACAGGGTCACACGCGTGGTATTTTGCATATATGACCATGCCACACGTTATGGACATCACGATAAATACTATGAGCCCCGGGAGATTCCAATACAACGCCCTGTTAGTATTTTATACAATATGCACAAAAGTATGATTGACTTAAAAATGCAATTTAAAAATATTCATTAATACACATACCGCCGACCCTTTTGAGGTGAACCCACGTTACAGTATCTTTGTATCTGTGGTTGTGATATACAGTAACCGCCCGACCATGTTACCGCTGTACCAATTAATACGTTCCAGAAGTTGTCGTGATTATAGACATCTACTTTCATACTAGAAATCATTGTAATTAAATATTAAGTATACAGTATAGAGATTGTTATACTGTAAATTTACTTGAAAAATTTGAGTCGACCACCTTGCTCATTGATGTTCCATAGCTCTTTCAATCCACCCGTTTCTATCACACCCTATATTTAAGATTAATGATTAATATGCTTAATTAATTGAAAGATTTTACAAAATTACAGTTACGATAACCACAAGCACTCCAAGTAACATAAGTGAACCCTGCAATACGTCCGTCCAAATGACCGCTTTTATGCCTCCCTTTCCAATAGAAAATTATCAATTATTTTACCATAAATTGTTTATTTCTTAAATAATGTTAACTAACAATAGATGTGTAGAAAGTGCATATAAATCCCACCAAAAGTATAGACATCGGTATTGATAACGGTGTCACTGATTAACATAAAGTTTTATTTTGAATTTAAAAATTTCATTTAAAGTATTATTTTTGAAATTGCTTCACACCTGCACTGAGTGCCACTGCCGGTCCATACAATACAGTCGCCAAATAAGGGATCTGATTATACAGTATATAACAATTTATATGATTATTGAGTAAACGTGATCTTTCAAATGAATTAATTACTAATTTAAACGTAAATCCTATTGTGCCGGCAAATCGCATATAGTCGGCATCAAATCGTTTTCCTAAATACTAGACTCGCAATAATTATTCTTGCTCAATATTTTGATAAAATATCTCATACCTCATTAACACTTATGAAACCCATTGTATAATAGATAGGCATAAAAACCTCAGCCGTCAATACAATGGCTATAATACATGATATTGATGTGACCCACATTTGAGTGCCCACTTGGAATACCTCAGCCGGCATACCTAGTAATGTATTAGTGGACATAAAAGTAGCCGCCATAGACATTATGACCGGGATGAGACTGAGTTGCCGGTTACCGGTCAGGTACTCGGCATTTGTGGCTGTATTTCGCGATTTGTACCAAAAGTATACTCCGATTAGTGATGAGGCGATCAATAGGAGCGCAAACACTAAATAGTCTACGATTGAGAAGTTTGTGTCCAACATATTTCAGACACTATTTGGTTTCTTGGTAAGTCACAGAAAAATATATATAAAGTACATTTAGGTTTTAAATAATTTAAAATACAATTATTATAGATTTGTTTGCTGTTCATTCACTTAAACAAATTGTTTGATCAAAAAATGTGTTTTATATTTTGTACATGATTAAAAAATATATTATTTATTTAATCATAATCTATTTGCTTTTTTAATAAACATTATTATCGATCAAGGTTAATCAATAAATACAATTTATATTTTGCTACCCCATTCTAGATATTGTTTATTTAGTGTTAAATAAAATTTTGTTATACTTTTATTTATTATGATTTATGTCAACTATTATTTATAAATGTATAATTTTTCAATCAAAGTATTTCAGTCAGTCATTTCAGTTAACAAGTAAATACTATAAAGTATAATATTTTGCACATAAATATAATACATTATACAGGATGCTGTTTAAATCAAGCAAAATTCAATAACCCTGAAAACATTAATATAAAACATGTGTCATTTTAATCACCGTTTATTTGAAGTTTACACAAAAAATATTTAAATACAAAATTTTATTTTAAAAGTCAAATACATATCAATAGACATCAAGAGTTCATTGATTATCCTCTTTGGTGTCAATCACTTCACTCGGTATGTCCTCCTCTTCAGCCACAGTCTTGTCGGCTATACTCCTGTCGACCGCCCCGTGATTACTGACCGCCGGGTTCAACACCTTAGTGGAGGCGCCGAGTGAGCACCGGGATGAGCACCTGCCTCTGATCTCTAACTCCCTGACCAGTGCCGTGACACCGCTCACACCTAACTTCGCGCAGCCCTGTTGGTCATCGGCCTCGAAGATACCGATCCCCCAGTAGGTGTCCCCCGAGCACCTACCACCTACAATCACACCACAATCTTGGTAATCTAGATTGCCTACAAATAGATTATTTATGCATTAATGTAACCCTATTTGAATTTCTGCATGTACCATTACTAGTATAATATAATGCAAACCGTTATTAAACGTCAATATTCTGGTGTAGTTTTTAATGTTCAATCGCTCGGTGTGTGTGCTATGGTGTCCGCCATCATAGCTGTGTGTGCCCGGGAACACGGCGTCGTACCACTGGTCACCCCTTTCCACAACCACGCCATTGCACGTCCATCTCAGGTATCGGGTGTCCTCTTTCAGTATATTCTTGGCCTTTGAATTACTGTCGCATATGTATTGCGAATTCTCGGTTACCTCCGGTTCCGCTACCGGCGTAAAGGCTGTCCGCAAACACGCATATAATTTATTGGTAGATAAACCGATCAGGAACACATTACATAATAACTAAATTAATAATTTAATAACTTATGCAACGAATACATACCCACGTCATAGGCTTTAGGCAGACCTGAAAACAAACACAAAATGTATGATTTAATTGAATTGTATATGAAATCAAGAAAATATTTCAAATACTTTTGCACCGTTTCTCAGGCCGTGGCTGCGGTTCATAGGATGCCTCCCATGACTCGGGCTCCGGCTTATACTCCGGTGCCGGTGCCTCCCATTGTTCAGGTCTAGCGGGAGGTCTATATTGGGGTTCACTAACAGGTGGCGGTCGATGAGGTGGGCGTGGGCGTGGCTTCTCCCATGTGGGCTCAGGGTTGTAGTCAGGTTCCGGTGCGCTCCAGCTGTCAGGCCTCGGGG